GTGCGGCTGCAGCACCGCGCAGCGAAAGAAAGAAACAGCAGCAGCACCAATGCCTGGCAGCTGCTGCAGCCACAAGTCGCTGCTGCCTTCACACGCCAAGCTGCTGCTGCTGCTGCTGCTGCTGCAGCTGAGGAGCTCTAGGCCAATCCGCAGCAGCAGCAAACAGTCAAACGAAAGCGACAGCTCGTCGCTGCTGCAGATGTCTCCCAATTTCGAAAAGAGAGACACTGCAGCATCAAATGAATCCGCAGCAGCAGCAGCAGCAGCAGGTTGCGTTGCTGCAGCTTCTAGTGCTGCCGCTGCTGGCTTTGCTGCTGCTGCTGCTGCCACAGAGAGGGCAGCAGCTGCAGCGGAGCTGCCGCTGAAGGGCACGGGGCCTGCTGCTTCCTTTAGCACCTCCCGCAGCAACTGATGAAATGTTTCTGCTGCTGCTGCTGCTGCTGCTGCAATGTCTGCTGCTGCTGCTGCAAGGCAGCCAGAGTTCCCCAGTGCCAGAGCCAATGCAGCACAGCGGAGGCTTTCAGACAGCTGCGGGCCCCGCAGGTTTTCTTGCTGCTGCTGCTGCACGAGCAGCAGCAGCTGCTGCTGCAGCAAAGAGGGAGGCAGCAGCACGCCGCACAGAGGAGCAGCAGCAAATACTTCCCACCGCTCCTGCAGCGACAGGCTGTCTAGCTGCTCCAGCGCCTGCTGCGGAGCTGCTGCTGCTGTTGCTGCTGTTGCTGCTGCTGCTGCTGCTGGGGCTGGACCTGCTGCTCCCAGCTGCAGCAGCAAAGGCAGCAGCGCGTCTGACTCGGCGAAGCCTAAGTCCCAAGATGCATGCGCTGCTGCTGCTGCAGCTGCAGGACCCTTCGGGGGGCCCGGCCTGACGGTGCCTGCCAAGATGCTTCTTGCTGCGGCTGCTGCTGCAGTTGCTGCTGCATCTGTGTTGGCACTTGCTTCTGTTGCTGCTGCTGCTGTGGTCAAGGCGCGAGACGACCCCTCCTGGGCCCCTCCCATGCAGCCACGCAGCTGTAGCAGCAGTTGCTGCTGCTGCTGCTGCAGCAGTTGCTGCTGCCGCTGCAGCCGCCGAACTGAAGCAGCAGCAGCAGTATAAGTTCTAGAAAGCAACCTCCGTCCTCTGAGGGCCTCTACACATGACGTTTCTGCTGCTGCTGCTGCTGTGCTGCAGCACACAAACTGTGAGCAGCTGCTGCAGCGTTGCACAAACTGATGCATACGCAGCAGCATTGCGGCTGTTGTTGATCCTGCTGCTGCTGCTGCTACTCTTAAAGCTGCTGCCGTTGCTGCTGGCTGCGTAGGTACTGCAGCAGCAGCTGCGGCTTTCCGCTCAGCACTGCTGCTGCTGCCAGTGCTGCTGCTGCTCTCTCTACCTCCGTTTTTCTGCTGCTGCTGTGCCTGCTATCAGCAGCGTTTGTATGTTCTTAACGAATTTCAGCAGCAGCAGCAGCACAGATACTGCAGCAACAGCGGGGGCCCACAAGACCTCAGCTGGAGGACCGGAGGGCCCCCGTGGTGCTGCGAAATACGGCGCTGCAGCAGTAGCAACGGCTGCAGCAGCAGCAAAGCGTTGCTGCAGAGTTAGAAAACAAGAAATTACTGCAGCAGCAGAACTGAAGTTCCGCGAAAAAAGCTGCTAAACCCCCAGGCGCACGGCTGTTGGGGATCGATCCCACGGCTGCTTCAGCTCCAGCAGCAGCAGCTGCTGCTGCTGCTGCGCGGTAGAGTCGCTGCAGCTCTTTGCACTAGAATGCACACCTTTGTTTTTGTGTTTTTGAGTGTTTTTTCTCCGACTTGAGGTGTCTGTACACCCCAAAATGCGCGCAGCAGCAGCTAGGCGAATGGCTGTTTCTAAAGGGGCGCGCCTGCTGCAGCAGCAGCAGCGAGGGAAGCAGCTGCAGCGAACAGCTGGAGGGCCCAAGACCCGAAGCAGGCTGCCTGCTTTTGCTGCAGCAGCAGCAGCAAAGGCAGCAGCAGCAGCACAGCAGCGCCACCGCAAGCAGACATCGGTTGCAAGCAAGGCTATAGCGGTAAGTGCACCTGCTGCAGCAGCAGCAACAGCAGCTGCAGCAGCAGCAGCCACGCAGCACCCCCCCTTGCGGTGTACGTACACTTCAGTGCCGCTACCTCCCCCGTTGCGCCCCTGAGGCACTCCATGTGTGCACTGCCGATTTAGAAGCAGCAGCAGCAGCAGCTGCAGCAGCAGCAGCTGCAGCAGCTACAGCAGCAGCAGCTGCTGCAGCAGCGGTCGACGCAGCAGCCGCGGTTGCTGCAGCGGCTGCTGCAGCAGCAGTTGTTGCGGCTGCCGGGTCTGCTGCAGTTAGACCTAAGCTTTGGTCAGTTTCGTGTGTGCCGCGGCGCAGAAGAGGCGAAGGCTCCCAACGGCAGCAGCAGCAGCAGCAGCAGCAGCAAAACCCAGGGCCCCCTCTACCTCAGCAAATAGGGGGGCCCCCCTGAAGGGAAAGAGGGCCCCTGTGAGGACGAAGTCAAATGCTGCGGTGAGTCTCGAGG